CATAATATCTCACGATTGTGTAAGCCCTTTGCCATTTGAGACACAAATTCAGGATCAATTTCTTGGCAGTCAAGAATCCAAGAGACCATCCTATCACCCGTCCCTATCTTATCCAATTCAAGATCGATGCTTTCCTTGACCTGTGAATTTCCCCAAAGCTTATTAACTACTTTTGAAACCAAACTTGCGCGAACATCAGTTGTGAGCTGTCTAAAATACTTGAGGATGTGTTCAAGGTGCTTACGATCTAAGAAACAGATGCACTGAGGGTTCTCATAAAAGCTACACATATCAAGATAGCATCCAGGGACTCCAGGTAGGTCCAGATGCTCTTCTGTGTAATCTATCAACCACTCCCAAAGGGTACATGAAAGAGTAGGGTTGTCCTTGTGGCAAGAGGATTTAAGAAGCTCAGCAAACTGTTTGAGTGTGTTTTCCCGCTCTTCATCCTCAGCCACAGGCCAATCGCTACACCATCCATTAACATAAACAAACACTTCCCCGCGTTTGATTCTATCCATAATCAGATTTGTTGCCGTTGCTGCATCCAGAGGCTTCCAGTCCCCATAAGAAATCATGTCAGCTAAAACCCCATCCACATACTTAGGGCGAGCACTGAAATCACCGGGTTCATATCTCTGCACATGGCTATCCAAGATGTGCATCTTGCAATCTGTAAAACAGTAGTTTACCTGAGAGCAAACGTGGCACTTCCAGCATCTCCATCGAAGTATATCAAAGATGGTTACACATTTCTGAAAATATACTTTTACTTTTCTGCCATAATGATTCTCTATATAGTCTATAAGCTTTCTAGAGTCTACTACCAAAAATTCCTTTTTGGTATTGTCATCCAAACTAGCCCAAAAGATCTTCAATCGATCAAAAGAAGGATCTTTCTTTATCAATTCCATCTGATTAGCCGTAGCTCTTGTAGCAATAACTGTCACAGCCGCATCAGGAACAGTCTCATGCAGCTTCTGTGAAGCAAGATTCATCAATTTCTGAAATTCGGCATTCAAATTTTTATAATCGTCTGATGACGGAGAAGTGCCATGAGGTAGCGTTACTGAAGATCCTCGTTTTGCTCTGAACAAAGCTTTCTCATAAAACTTGTCTACCCCAAGCTGATCACCCAACTGGATTAGCGAACGAGCATAGCCACGAACGGACCGTAGAGCGTTAGGAGACAGAAGAGTAGCCATTGAATATGCATCGACAGAAGCAAACAAGTAAACGCATTTGACGTCGGTGTTATCTGTTTTTCCTGCTTGCTGGAAGAAGATATCACCTTGCAGTTCGTGGTGAAAATAGCAAGATTCGTTGTCCCCATGATCTGAAATCGTTTTCTCTGTTAGCGACAAGGCCTTACCGTTTTTACCATTTTTGAAGAAGCCTTTGGCAAGATTGTATGCATCGTTGATATTCTTCTCTGTTCTTTGGACGTCATGTTCTTTGTTCTTCGTCATCGGAGCACAGGGAGTCAGCAATTTCTCGAGAAAGTGTGAGAATGAGAAAGAAAACAGAGGAAAAGAAAAAAAAAAGTAGTAAGCTTTTCTTGGGAGAGAGAGATGTTCTGTTTAGAGAAGAAAACTGTTGTAGGCTGAGCAACAAAAGGAGTGGTCATGTGCAAGGCACGTGATTAGTTTTGTCGTCCTCAAATGCAAAATGACCTTTCCAAGACTCATTTCGTCGAGCACTTGGCGTGCACACCAGGGTTCGAACGGTACTCTCACCACCACTCTCTCTCTCTCTCTCTCTTCTTTTCTCTAAGTACATCTCTCTGCAAACCATACCAACACACATATAGTAGAAGAAGGTATGCAATGGTATATTTCGAGTTGAGGTTATTCTCATCTTCTCTCACGCCGTTTAACAACATTTCAAAGCTTTCTTGATGTGACCAGCAAAGAAGAAGAAGTCGAGAGGACGGAAACGGAGGTGAGGACTAGAGGAAAGAGGCAAATGATCGATCATTAGACAGAGACATTTCGTTTGGTTTATGTTCAAACTATCATTCAAGTTTTGTTGATCTTTGAGGTGAATGGTTTTGCTGCTATGAGACAAAATTGTTTTGTTCATGTGAGGGAAAATAACGACTTTAATTACAATTTTTGAATGTTGGTTATAAAGTGTTAATGTGTTAAAATTACTATAATCTCTACAAATGTTAGTAGTGATATATTATGGTTATGCGAATGTAAGTAATGTCTCTCTTTAATTTTAATAATCCTACACTTAGTTTGCCGCACTTTTGCTAAAATTTAAGTATGTAACAAAAT